GGGGCCTTTTTTGGGCTCCAGCGGGTGGGGCCTGGCGGCGCCCTATGATGCTCTTGATGCTCGCCTGCACTTCGAGCTACACCCTGCAACCTAGAGCTTTCGTCACCTCCCCGCGGGTCTCAAGTCTTGTATTGACTTGTTTTGGTGAGTCCAGCTTATGCTCAAGATGCTACCTGAGGGTTCTCGCAAGCCGTGTGACTCTAAACCTAAGAGGTCACCGGCAAGTTGCTCGAGAAGGCTGGGCTCATGCTCTTGGCCTGAGCTCAGCTCAGATGCACTCCTTCAGGTCATCGAGTATTTGTATTTCAAGTACAAGTACACAGATGCCAAGGTGCCGGCTGATTTAGCCTGTCTTACTTCGAGGCGTGGGTTTTCGCTTCCCGGCAGGTGCCAATACCGGAATTCCCAATCGATGATGACGTTGTGCTGGTGCTCTGGCTGCGAGTCTTGCAGCTTCTTTCCATCTTGTTCTGGTTCATAACCCGGCAGGAGAGCCACCGTTGACTTGTTTTCATCTTGTAATCTTGCTGTTGTGTACGAGCACTTGTTCGTGACCCGTTGGTGTCAGGAAAGGTCGTTGGCAACATAACTTGCTTTTGAGCCAGCGCCCGACTGATGGCAGCATCCACGACGAGCTGAGGATTTGCTTCTGGTGGCGAACTACTTGAACTTGTATTGACTGACGGTGGCTCTGAGTGTAAACCAACTGCCGGCTAGGGAGGTATCGGTCCATGCACTGTTTTAGCTTCACGAGGGGTGCACATAGAGGGCCGGGAATTCGGCAGCGAGAAGGCATGCTTAGCATCTCCGTTTCACAGAAGCGCCGGCCGCACTACGGCTGGTGCGAAGCCAGCCCGAAGCTGCAAGCGCAGAAACGCGAAGCGTCGGGCCTCTCGTACCGATCGTACCGAGTCTTCCGAGCTCTGTTGCAGCTCTGAGGTTGCCAAGCGGACAGACGGATTCTCCGGCCGTCAGCTCGCCAAGCTGGTTCTCGCTTACCAGGCACTTGCCGCCTTTGGGCACAGGGCTGGAAGTCTGCGAGACACGAAGTGACAGGCGGCAGTGTTCGGATCAGGCACTACCAGGCAAGACTGTGCAGAGGCACGAGAATCCAACAGGATCTGCCGCATTCGCGAGGCTAACGCCCGGCCTAGCGGAGACTGTCTTGCAGTACAAGCTGGCCCATCGCGAGGATCCTCGCGCAGCCCACACCGTTCTGTGTCTCCGTACATGTGTGTGTGTGTGTGAGTGAGTGAGTGAGTGAGTGAGTGAGTGAGTGAGTGAGTGTGAGTGCGTGCGTGTGTGTGTGTGTGTGTGCGTGTGTGTGTGCGTGCGGGTGCGTGTGCGTGTGTGGGTGTGCGTGTGCGTGTGCGTGTGCGTGTGCGCGTGCGCGTGCGCGGGCGCGGGCGCGGGCGC